TCGTCTTCTGTCAATATACCAGAAAGAAAGACTCCTAAAGTTTCATTAACTACTAACAACACCAAAATCAACAACATTTTTGACAAATTTTCATCACTCACAACTTTGCAGAGAGTAGTAGCGTGGTGCTTTCGCTTTAGACATAACACTACTTGTCTTGCAAAAAATAAAATAACAGGCCCTTTATCGATAAATGAGTTGAATTCTGCTACATCTAAATTGATAAGCACAGTTCAATCAAATGAATTCGCAGCTGAAATCAAATCGTTATCACATTCAAATTCAGTCCATCCTAAAAGCAAATTAATTTGTCTAAATCCATTTTTAGATGACAAGGGTTTAATTCGCGTCGGTGGAAGACTAAAGTTGTCTGAATTGCCCTACCGTAGTAAATATCCGATAGTATTACCAAATCGGCATCCCTTTACACGTTTGTTAATTTTACACAAACATCAAAGACATCTTCACAGTGGAATACAAGCTACTTTGTATGCTATTAGGTCAAAATATTGGATTTTAAACGGTCGAAGCACAGTTCGCGGCATTTTAAGACGTTGCATCATATGTTTCAAGGCCAAACCTATTGACACGTTTCATCAAATGGGTAATTTACCTCTAGCAAGATTAAAACCCAGTAGGCCTTTTTCTACCACAGGTATAGATTTTGCTGGGCCGTTTTTTATTAAAGATGGCAAATATCGAAATCGAAAGATCGTTAAGTGTTATCTATGCATATTCATTTGTGTTGTGACAAAGGCGACACATTTGGAATTGACAGGAGATTTGAGCACTGATTCATTCCTTAATGCTTTAAAAAGAATGGTTTCAAGGCGTGGTTCATGCAAAGCTATTTATACCGACAATGGCACCAATTTCGTTGGCGCAAACAACGAATTAAAACTTTTGCTTTCTGACTTACATAAAAATTCAAAATTTCGAGAATTCATTATTCAAAATGCTATATCATGGAACTTCATTCCACCTAGATTACCACATTTCGGGGGTATTTGGGAGGCCGCCGTGAAGTCGGCAAAATACCATCTCCAACGAATACTCAATAAGTCATTTTTAACTTTCGAAGAGTTTTATACAGTATTGACGCAAGTGGAAGCTGTGTTAAATTCTCGCCCTCTAACTCCATTGTCAAATGACCCCAATGATTTCCTATGTCTCACCCCTGGTCATTTCCTTATTGGCGAACCGCTCACAGCTCTTCCTCAAGATGACGTCACGGACACTCCATGTAACAGATTATCACGATACAAACATTTACAGCAATTGCTTCAACACTTTTGGGCACGATGGTCTAATGAATACTTGAATTCCTTACACCAACGCACCAAATGGAAGTTGCAGGTCGGTGGAGTTCAAGTAGGATCCATGGTTCTGCTGAAAGAAGAGCACGCTCCACCTCTACAGTGGAAAATGGGACGTGTGTGTGCAACCTTTCCTGGCCAAGATGGCGTTACTCGCGTAGTGGACGTTAAAACCGCCAGTGGTATAGTGCGACGAGGTGTTGCTAAAATTTGTGTCTTACCTATTGACCCTTAAGTATTGCATGTTAATTATTCATATTATCTAAATATTTAAATATGTATTTTTATTGAAAGAGCGTAGCCTTTCAAGGCCGCCGGTATGTTCTGTACTTTTGTTTTCACTTCCAATGTATTGGATTCCGTGATCTTACGCATGTGCGAGAGGTCCAAGCATTGTGTGTTGTATGGCCAGTAATCTCCAAGCCATGCGAGAGGTCACACCTATTCTACGAGTCATTAAAGGTGTGTTCCCAAAACGTTACATTAATTTCATTTTCCTAAAAACGCAGTTGAGAAATCGACAGATTCAATGAAGTTAAGCCGTACCCGGACAGGGGCCAGTGCTATCCACACCGTCAGATCTACGGGAATACAGAAAATAGGTAATTTATCACTTAAATTATAATAACCACAGTAATAAGAGAATTACGAAAACCACAGTAATAACCACATCACAGTAGTCGGTTTAGTCTCTATCTGCAACTAACTTAATGAAGAATTTGAAATTATCTCAATCAGAAGAAGTAGAATCTCTTTACTAATCAATTCAGTATAATATTTCAATAAATATAAAATCGTATATAAATCGTTTAAAACACACTGTAGAAAACCACATTTCTTACGAATTTGCGTAATCTACCTGGAAAGAACAAATTATCTCGTCGTCACAATCACCAGTCGAATTCATTTTCACTTCCATATGGTTCTGATTTATATGCATTGTAAAATTAAAAGACAAATGCATAGTTTGAACGTATAAATCTTCTTCTCCATTAAAACTTGAATATTTGCTCTTATCTAGGCTTGATTGTAGCGACAGCATTTTCGTAATTACGTGTTAGTCACTAACCGTAACTAGAGATGTGCAATTCGAATCATTTTAATGATCCGTACGATGCGATATACTCTTTGTATTTAGTTTCAAAATCGCAATCGTTACACTTGTACATTTGAACCTGCGAAGGATCTTTGTGTTTCAGTTGGTGTAGTTTCATATCATACTTGTATGTAGTTTCGTAATCGCAGTCGTTACACCTGTACAATTGCACCTGGGAAGGATCTTTATGCTTCTGTTGGTGTCTTTTCAAATTTCTGCTGTATTTAGTTTTGTAATCGCAGTCGTTACACCTGTACATTTGAACCTGAGAAGGGTCTTTATGCTTTAGTTGGTGTCCTTTCATATCTTTGCTGTATCTAGTTTCGTAACTGCAGTCGTTACACCTGTACATTTGAACCTGGGAAGGATCTTCATGTTTCAGTTGGTGCTTTTTGATGTAATCCTTGTATTTAGTTTCGTAATTGCNTGAGAAGGGTCTTTATGCTTTAGTTGGTGTCCTTTCATATCTTTGCTGTATCTAGTTTCGTAACTGCAGTCGTTACACCTGTACATTTGAACCTGGGAAGGATCTTCATGTTTCAGTTGGTGCTTTTTGATGTAATCCTTGTATTTAGTTTCGTAATTGCAGTTTTTACACCTGTACATTTGCACCTGCGAAGGATCGTTGTGTTTCAGTTGGTGTTTTTTCATATCACCCTTGTATTTAGTTTTGTAATCGCAGTCGTTACACCCGTACAATTGCACCTGGGAAGGATCTCTATGCTGCAGTTGATGCTGATTGATAACACCCTTGTATTTAGTTTCGAAATCGCAGTCATTACACCTGTACATCTGAACCTGAGAAGGATCTTTATGTTTCAGTTGGTGCTGTTTGACAGCATGCTTGTATTTAGTTTCGAAATCGCACTCGTTACACCTGTACGTTTGAACCTGCGAAGGATCTTTATGCTTTAGTTGGTGTCCTTTCATATATTTGAAGTATTTAGTTTCGTAATTGCAGGCATTACACTTGTACATTTGAACCTGTGAAGGATCTTTATGTTTCAGTTGGTGCTTTTTGATACAATCCTTGTATTTAGTTTCGTAATCGCAGTCTTTACATCTGTACATTTGAACCTGCGAAGGATCTTTGTGTTTCAGTTTATGCCGTTTGATGCAAGCCTTGTATTTAGTTTCGTAATCGCAGTCGTTACACTTGTACATTTGAACCTTTGAAGGGTCTTTATGCCTCGCCAGGTGCCTCTGAAGTGATTTCTCATTTTCAGTTTCATACTCACTCGATTCACGTTTATACACTTCCGAATCGTTCTCGTGTGTCACAAAGTGTGCCATAAAACGGATCTCACTTCCAGTTTCGTAAATGCATTTATCACATTTGTACAATACTTTGCTCTCCTGCTTGATTTTCATTTCTGATCCATTCTGCTGTTTATATCCTTCCTCTTCTTCATTTTTACAGACACTCTCCTCGAATGGTACCTTATCGCAGCACTGCAGCGGCGTGACGCTGAAAAAATTGAACATACAGGGTATTTTTAAAAATCAAGTTTTAATTTTTAGTGGTTATGCCCATCGAAAACGTACCGCAAAGCATTACAGGGTAGTAAAGAACTTTTCGGCAAAATCCAAAAACAGGTCAAATTTGTTTCTGAGGGGGACAACTTTTGGCTCAAAAAGCATACCAAAATCTTCAACCCCCTAAGTGGGGGTGCTATCCCCTAAATTTTTTCAAATGGGAATGGGGGTCAAGTGGGGGGTCATTAGAAAGGGCTTTTAATTCTCTATACATCGATTCTTACTTTTTGAAAATCGATTCATTATTTTAGAAAATATGCAGCTTTGAAAATACGAACAATATTTTTGACGAGAAATGCGAAAATCGATTTAATTTTACTTCAAAACTTACGGTATTAGTCAAGTAAATGCTGAAAATGTTGTCCGCCAACTTGCATACAATGATACAGGTTGTCTTCAAACCGTTGTCGAACATTCTGGAGCACTTGCGGTGTTACTTCGCGACATACATTAATGATTCGTCCTCGCAGATCTTCCAAGGTATCAGGTGGAGTGCTGTAAACTTTGCTTTTAATGTGCCCCCAGAGAAAGAAATCTAAAGGATTTAAGTCGGGTGACCGAGGGGGCCACTCAATTGCACCTCTTCGTCCTATCCAGCGTCCTGGAAACGTCTCATTTAGGTAATTGCGCACATTGAGCGAGTAATGTGGAGGAGCTCCGTCTTGCTGGAAAATCAGTTCGTGTTCATTGTAAGCAGGGTCGTCCTCTATGATATTTGTTAGAGCTGGGTCGATGACATTTTGTAGTAAATCCAAGTACATATCGCCTGTCAAATTTCCAGGAAGGAAAAAAGGACCTACAATGGAATTTCCAAAAATACCTGCCCATACATTCAACTTCTGGGGGTGTTGGGAGTGTGTCTCATGGAAAATCCTTGGATTGGTATCAGCCCAGTAACGACAATTATGGCGATTCACTAAACCATTCAAGAAGAACGTACACTCGTCCGAAAAACACACATTAAAGAGGAAATTATCGTTTATCGCTCGTTCAGTCATTATTTCGCAAAATTGCAAACGACGATCAAAATCGTCTTCATTTAGCTCTTGCACTAGCCGAATCTTATAAGGATGGAATTTGTATTTTTTTAATATTCGTTGGACACTTGTACGACTCACTCCTGTCGCAGTAGCCAATTGCATTGTACTCAGCGTACTATCCATTGCCACTTGCCCCAATACCGCTATTTCCGTAGGTTCATTTAGTACCGGATTTTCAACCTGCCTCTTTTTGTTATGAACGGAGCCAGTTTCGCGAAATTTGGCCACCAATTCGCGAACAATTTTTCCAGACGCATGTTTCTCAGGATGCCGTTGGTTGAACAGTTCGGCGACCCGATTTCCGCATTCATTGTTTTTGAAAAAAAGCTCAATAATTTCTACTCTTTCTGGAATTGAGTACACCATAATTAATCAATTTAAAAGACTCGGCAGTATTGGTACTCTTCAACTACAAGTCACAAGACAGTTATCTAGCAACTTCTTGTGGCCTATCTAAATACGAAACAAAAAGCGGACAATTTTTTGCTCACCAAAATCAGGCTAAAGAATTCGCAAATCAAAAAAAAAACAGCGAATTCTTTTGAAGGAATTTACCAAGCTAATACCGTAAGTTTTGAAGTAAAATTAAATCGATTTTCGCATTTCTCGTCAAAAATATTGTTCGTATTTTCAAAGCTGCATATTTTCTAAAATAATGGATCGATTTTCAAAAAGTAAGAATCGATGTATAGAGAATTAAAAGCCCTTTCTAATGACCCCCCACTTGACCTCCATTCCCATTTAAAAAAATTTGGGGGATGGCACCCCCACTTAGGGGGTTGAAGATTTTGCTATGCTTTTTGCGCCAAAAGTTGTCCCCCTCAGAAGCAAACTTTACCTGTTTTTGGATTTTGCCGAAAAGTTCATTACTACCCTGTAATGTTTTCGATGGGCTACCCTGTATATATACACATGCCAAAATGTTGCGTTTAACAAAAAATGACTAATAAATGGGCATATTTCCCTTTGAAGTTAATGAGATATTTTTATTAACTAATTATACATTTGTACCCCCATACCGGAACAATTCAGTGCTTGCTGTCATTTCTGTCGTCGTCACCCTTAAACTTGATTGAAATATGTGTTATTGAAAAGGATAGTAACATCCAAACATTTTCACAAACAAACATTCAATTATTATAAGTTTATGAAATCCGCAAGGCATTTATACAATTTTTATGCCATTCAAATGATGTAATAACAAAGTATAAAACTGGAATAAGACGAGGAATTTAGATTTTAGACATATTATTAATAAAAAATTCAGATCAAACAGTTGTGACATTTTGGTAAGGCTGTAGCTGGCGGCGCCCAGGTACATCTGTCACGACATAACAACCAAAAGAACCATCGTACTTTAAACCTATTAGTTCTAGTAGTCTTTTTAATTGTCCCACACAACAAAATTCAAATATTAAGTAATACCACAATAAGAATACTCGTCAATAACGATTACCCTATTTCTCTTCACAATATTATCCTTAACGATAATTGAATCAACAATTGTACTAATAACATAATTTTAATTTCAATGACGAATCGATTCGGATTTTAGATAACAAATTTAATTATTAAAAAAGACATTAGCGAGATGCTATCTATAAAGTCATACAATAACTCCATCAACAAAAAGTCAGATAATTTATAAAATTTTAATTAAATAATAACACCCTGCATTTCACCTTAAAAGACGTTACTACTATATCAATAATGTAAGTGATATTTTCCATTTTATCCAGAAATGTCTGGTCAGTGCGTACAGTCAGGTCCAAATATAATTAAAATATTTATTTGCTAATATTGTTTGTTGTATGTATGTATAAATATGGTGCTGTATTTTTATGCAGTTGGCCCTCCAAAAATGTTTTTAAGAAGATTTACCAAATGAAATAAAAGGTGGAAATAAAAAGAACTCTGCGGTAGCTGTTTTTTTTACTGTTCACCTTTGGCAAAAGTGATGAAAGAACAAAAGATACAAGAGTATTTTGAATGATTGCATTATTTAACAATTTCATTGTATGTGGCATGTGTTTTCATATTAATTATAGTTGGATATATCACTTCTAGTTTTTCTTTTAGATAACTATTTATTACTACAGTTGAACCGTTGGATCTTTACGTTCATGTCATCAACGTACATCAAAATAATAAAAGACAAATGTTGAATTATTGATCAACTTGAATTAACTAGTGATAGAAAAAGATAAGGAATCGCCTTCATATATTGCGCAATAGGCCCATTCAGTGATATATAATTTTAAACTTTTTCTTTCATTTTCTGATAGTATTTAACCACCTAAATATATCTTAAAAAAAGTGATATATTTAATTCTGAATTTGTAAGACCCTTAAAAAGGTCAACACGGCGGGAGAACAGGTAATGACGTCATGATACCCGCCACCCGGCGATCGAGTCCCGAGCAGTCGGAGAGATATGTAGATATTTGCTATACTTTCACCTATATTATATACCTATATTTTTAAGTGTATAAATAGAGAATGTATAAGAGATATACATCAAGTCTTGTTGAAATGCATTTTTCACACAACATATTTATTATAAACATAGAATGTCTTGGAATATCTAAATACATTTTCGGATTTTTCTCAATGACGTAATTTTGCCTTCCATTTTGTGTACAAATGTACCCAACGTACTAGACTCGGTACTTGTGGATGTATGCGACGACGTGTATGTGCGAGCAACTCAGAACCACCCTCGTTTTTCTTTGATTGCCCGTCTATATTATTATTTAAATAAATTACTTATAGGTGCCTCTCGCAACGTATTTCGAAATTTTTGTGGACGGGAACGTTTAGATGGGGTAGAATTTATTTTTTCGACATAAATTTGAAAATTCTGCTCTAAATGTTTAAATAATAATATTTATAACCTCTTAGACGGGCAACCAAAGAAAAACGAGAGTGGTTCTTAACTGCTTATAGGTCCCTCTCGCCGACGTATTTTGAATTTTTTGTGAACACGAACATTTAGATGGGGTAGATTTTAATTTCTATAAAAGTTTACATTATTATATTACGGGGGCAATACGAAGAGAGAAACGAGCCTATACGGATATTGTTTTCAAAAGTCGAGACAGTAAAAGCACTTGGAAGGCGCTAAGGTCTATGGATATTGTTAAAAATAAAATTGCTGGAGGTGAAATACCCGACTCTATATGCAATGTTGATGACATCAATTCTTATTTTATTAACAGTGCTAATATTGATAACAAATACTAATACACTTTACAAGTTATCTCTTGAGCACAGATTAAAATTAAACCCAAATAAGTCCCATATTTTATTATTTGGCCCTAAACAAAGGAGATTGGCAGTGAAAAATTCCTTAAAAATTATTTTAAACAATGATACATTGGATGTAATTGGTGAATGCAAAAATTTAGGACTTTGGTTCGATTCAGGTCTACGTTTCACTAAGCACATAAATCAGTTGTTAAAAACGTCTTATAATACTTTTAAAACAACTATACCCACAAAGACAAGTGATGAATCAAAATTTAAAACCACAATTATGTGAATCATTAATTATTTCTAAATTATCTTATTGTGATATGGTCCAAATCTATTACAGATTCATAGATCCAGACTCCAGAGGTTGCAAAATTCATGTTTACGTTTTCCTTATGGTATCAGGAAATTCGATCACATAAGTCACAAATATAAAGATGCTGGGTGGTTAAAAATTGTTGATATGTTCAAATATCATTTTATATGCTTTACACATGAAATGCTCACCACTAGTACACCTACTTACTTATATAATAAATTAATTAAATTTGATAATGTAAACAATAAGAGATCTTCACGTAATAGAAATACCCTGGTTACCCCCAAACATAAAACTGCCACCTTTATTTGTAGTTTTTCATATTTAGCCCCAAAGTTGTATAATCAATCACCGAATGGGATTAAAAATTTTGCTTTAATTAATTTCAAAAAAAAGATTAAAATCACTTGCTGGAGACTTACACCTTTAATATACATACGTTGTGATATTTATCTGGCTAATTTGAGATGGGCAAATATATAATTTGTGTAACAGAAGGAGAGGACTTAGAGGCAAATACATTTATTGTTATATAATATTCTTAAGGTTAAGTTGAAAAGCAGCTGTAGCTGAACTTCACCTGTCATTCCGCTTGTTGTTTTATTTTTGTATGTTTGTATGTAATGTTTGTTATCAACTTTGTAATGGAATGAATAAGGAAGATTACTATTAAATGTTCAAATAATAATATTTTACAACCCCCTAGACGTGCAACCAAAGAAAAACGAAGATGGTTTTGAGTTGCATACCGTGGGTGGGGAAACCGTGGATATAGTCCACAGTACAGGCCCCCTCTGGAAAGTTGATTACCACATACTTTATAACTCCTGAGGAGCTTCGTTTTGACGAATCTACCACATATTTCCTCCACGACTTTCCTCGATTCCTCCGCTTTTCCACTCGGAAAAGTCCAAAAACATGACCACATCTTTTATTTTTAGCTTAAGTAACTGGAAATTTTGTTGCAAATGCCGATTTAAATTTGTCCCACAGAAATTCCTCCGACATTGCCGTGTCTACCGGTCGAAACATGCCAAAATAACAGGGTATTGAAAATCAATCACCACATAGGTAATTTTTAGTAAAATTAATTGTAAATATTTAATTCAGTCAAAAAGTATTGTTGTCCGACAAACTTCAAGCCGCGTTTTTTCAGTCCGACAGCTGGAAATCGGAATTTTCACGGGGTATGAAAAATCGATTACCACATATCTAATTTTAATTTTTTCCACTTTTAAATTTACTGTACAAAATAGTGATATAAGTGTCCGACAATTTAATGTCCGCAAATTATTAAAAAATCAATAAATTAATAAACGTGATGAAATTTAAATTTTTCACTCCAAAAATTTCAAATTTATAAATGGTTATTAATTATTATTATGTAAATTATTATTTGTTTCAAATAAATAATTATAATATTGCTTATTTTATGCTTAAAAATTTAAAAGTTATAAACAAATGAAGTTATTTTTGAGGCGATTAATACGATCTTAGTGCATAATGCATTATTTCTAAATAAATTAATATTATACTTGATATAAAAATCCTTTTTTCTCTTTCAAGTTTTCATTCGCGTTTGTTATTTTTCTTTACAAAAATTTTCCTATTTTTCTAAAAGAAAATCCCAAAACTTTTGTGCATAATTTTTTTACACCATACATACTTTTTTGAAATCGTTTAATTCTTTTCTCGATATTTATTTGGCTAAATTGAGCATATAGAGATTTACAATTACAAGAATAAAACGAAAAATATATACAGGGTGTTTCAGAAAGACCTCCCGTAAATAAAGAGGGTGATAGTATGATAAAAAATGAGAATTTTTTGTCTTATGAACTCTATGTCTATCTCCTCTTGTTTTCGAGATACAGAGAGACAAAATAAAATTTTTTAAATAACATTTTTATGAAAATTTCCAAATAGTGCGAAATATTTTTATGAAATTTGGTAGCCCGAGGTTTTTAAGGGTGCCAAATACGCTAGTCTAATTATTTTTTGTATATTTCATAGAAAGCGCTAGTTATGCTACATTCTTATTACAATTTAAGTTATATTTTTTTTAAGGTTAGGTTTTTTACCAGTCGGGCTCTAATTTCTATTGTACAATTTTATTTTCTAAAAATAATGTACTCTTGTTAGAACTTCCTAATGTGGACGATTTTCGAGAAAAAAGGCTTTTAATTAAACTCTTACAATATTACACTATAAAATAAGTGACTTTTCTCAAAGTAAGCTTGAGCTTTGAGAAGAGGAGATAGACATATAGTTCATATGACAAAAAATTCTTATTTTTTGTCGTCCTCACCCCCTGTATTTACGGGAGGTCTTTCTGAAACACCCTGTATTGTATATTTATATGGAATTTTGCTTAATACATGAAAATACCTTATTAGAAATTATAAATACATGTGCACATTTTTTACGAAATTTTTTTCATCTTTTTTTGTCGGACTGACGATTTGCGGATATATTTTTGTCGGACATTACAATTTTTGCTTATAAAAAACACTTTTCTATCGTGTGTTATTTTTGTCCGACATGTGGTAATCGATTTTTCATACCCTGTGAAAATTCCGATTTCCAGCTGTCGGACTGAAAAAACGCGGCTTGAAATTTGTCGGACAACAATACTTTTTGACTGAATTAATTATTTACAATTAATTTTACTAAAAATTACCTAAGTGGTAATTGATTTTCAATACCCTGTTATTTTGGCATGTTTCGACCAATAGACACGTCAATGTCGGAGGAATTTATGTCGGACAAATTTAAATCGGCATTCCCAACAAAATTTCCAGTTACTTCAGCTAAAAATAAAAGATGTGGTCATGAGTTTTCAAGACCCCGGGAAATTGCCATGTTCTTACACTTTTCCGAGTGGAAAAGCGGAGGAATCGAGAAAAGTCGCAGAGGAAAAATGTGGTAGACTCGTCAAAACTAAGCTCCTCAGGAGTTATAAAGTATGTGGTAATCAACTTTCCAAGGGGGGCCTGTACTGTGGACCAATAACATCACACAAACTTTTCATTTTTCGGTAATGAAATAAATATTTTATTCGGAGTCGATCCCGAGGTACTTTTACAGCCTAGAACTATTCAATATTTGTACAATCCTCGGTTTCGACCCATTTAGACATAAAAACAATGATTAACGAAACTGCCAAGCGAACCACACACCGTATGTATTAACCCAGAATGGGATGAGAGTGAGCGGAGTGTTCTGCCAGTCGCCCGTACCGGTATTATGACGTCAGGCAATGGTTGCTCAACGTTTTTCCACGCTCTGTTTTCATTAATTTATTTCACACATTTCTCGTTGAAACAAAATTTTTTTTGTTTTTTGTTAAAAATCAATTTAATTGATTTTTGGCATACTAACTAATTAAAGGGTAAACTTTTAGAATATGCAAAAAGAATTCTACTGAATGGGCCTATTGATATTCATTCTGACAGAGGTTATTCACTGTTCCTGATAAATGAGAAAGACCTCTCGTTTCATCTGTGTTTCGATTCTCTACAAATTGTCTCTTTATAGCATTCAGATTGCTTCGTTAATTTATGTTTTATAAGCAAAAAACTTTAAAAAATGCGGTTTTCTGTATAAAAATGTTTATAATTAATTAATGATAAATTGGTGTAGGAAACATACAAGCGTATATCTACAGACTATCTTTTATATGACGGCGCAGTCCGTTTGCTACTAGTATTCTTCTCACAAACAAAACCTCTATTGATTGATCTAATTTTCTACGAGTTCTGTCGTTACTTCAGTAAATTGATTTTAAACTGTCGTTATGATGCAAAAAATAACAAAACATGTTTTCATTATACAAATGTGTATCCTCACTATTTCTTAAATGAACAGTAATTCATGAACACGACCACTGATTTGACCTCGTTTGAAATCTCAGTTCATACCATTATGCTTGACGACGAGAAAGTAAAGATCCAACGGCTTAACTGTAGATGTTAATAGATATTGGTGTTGTGTATTAGATGCCAAAAATTTATTTCCTTCTTGCAATCTGCATACATAACGTTTTGTAACTCGGTGAGAGATCTATCGTTTTCGTTCCAAGAAAATTACGATTTCCGCCTACAGTAAAAAAAATCACTGAATGAATCTAATCAGTGGCGGCTCTTGAAGGAGGACTCTGGGACTCCGCTAGCCTCCCCCCCCATCTGATTTAAAGCTATACCGATTGTTTTATAACGATCTTACATTTTTTCCTAATAATTCGTTAACCTAACTCTTGAAGATTGTTTACCAACGTAATCTTATAATTTGTTAGTTTATCGCCAGATGGTACGTATTCACAAAGTATCAGAACCACGGACTTTTTTTTTAAATTAATGTTAAAATAGTCTTCTCTTACCTCCTTTCCTCATCTTCCGATTTTATGTCGATATTTTTAGCTTTGATTGACATTTCTATTTCGTTAATATCGAATTCTTTGTCCAAGTTTCCAGTCTTAACAAATAAATCGAGTGGAGACGTATCTATTTGACTTCGTGAGGCCGAATGATCAAAAGTACTTTTAATTTTTTCTTCCGCCTCTAAGCAATCTTTTAGGAAATTATTGTGAGTGCACACAGAATCAAAGCATTCCTTACATATAACGGGATCTTTGATGATGTTTATAATCTGCAAAGTATAGTTTTCTAAATTCTGAGAAATGCAAATATTTAATATCGTTCCTACCAGTTCAGGAGCCAGTTTCTTGATAGCTTCAAGTTCCTCTTCACGTATGCACCTAAACTCACTTTCTACTGGCTCCATACACAATCGACATATTTTCTGACTATCTGAAATATCCATTGACTCGCTTGTCTTTTCCTTCGTATACACATCTCTTATATCGAGCTGTAACATTTTCTCACAATCCAAATATGAAATAATTGTGTAATCGGTCTTCAGACAAGCCGACTTAAATTCTAATGCCGCATATAATTTTCTTCTGCAAACGCTACATATAACCTCTTTGTTCTCGTTATCAAATTTCTGAAAAATATGCAAGTTTAAACAGAACGGAAATAAGTGTAGTGGAAAATAACAATTAAATACTAAATATTGCTTTACATTTGAGACTGCTAGGATCTAATCTAATTAGATTTCACCGACTTACCAATTTCGGCAAAAGAACATCCAAAATGTCTCTGATAACGTTGTCTACCACTTCAAAACTTGTATCTATTATAGATTTAATGCAAAGTCTACACGAAGTTTCCTTAACATCACTCATTGCTCTACGACAATCTCCTTTTGAGTATAAAAAGAATACAAACTCGTCAATCGTCACTTCTAACCTTCTTGTGGCCATAGACCATAGATTACAGAGTTCTTGTGGAGGTGTAGGCAGGGTTGCCAACCAGCCTTTACCGATTTCTTACAAAACTTTTCCAGATTACTCACAACTTTAGAATATCAATATCAAGAGAAGTTTTTTTTTATAAATGATAACTGACGGCCATCTGATACTGATGGGCGCATATGTTTGGTTTTATGATTTTATTTTACCAATTTTAATTTAATCGTGTCAATGTTGCCAAATGTCAAAAGCTGGGGCGCGTTCACAATCATTGTGAGTTGTATGCAAAAACAGTACGCCATTATTCCATGGCTAGAAACTGGCCTCAATGATTTGGGATCGAGGGGGATTATCCCTCTTTATCCTGCCTCATCTCGTGTAGGCCTGGACAGCCTTCGTAGGTGGGCCCCATCCGTCGTCTACCCCGACCGCAAATGCGGCCGGTGTAGGCGCTTTGTGGGACCTCCTTTTGTCCTGGCTGGGCCCCGCCGGCTAGGGCCCTTTCTTCTGGCGCTCTTCTTGCTTCGCCGGCTCGTCTGTGTAAACCCCGGGGGTAGTGTCATGTTTATGTGTGGTATGGTTGGGTAGGGTAGTGCGGCTATGCAGCCTGGGATGCGCTTTGCTAAGGTGGCCCTTAG